GAGCCTCATGGCAGGAGAACCCCATGCTGCAGACCTGGAAGACACAAGGGCAGTCTGATGCAGGCAGCAAGAGCTTACCCTCCCTGACCTGCTGCTGCTCAAGCCTGCAGCACCTTTCCTAGCCAGGCTTGGGGATATTGGTGCAGATACACGTTTTGAGCATTGAAAACATGAGTTAGAGTCTCACTCTGTCTCCAACATCCATTCCAGCCCCAAGGATGGTTGGACTCTGCTGCTGCATCCCTTGACCCTGCTTTCAGCCCCCAGCAACATGCATGCCTGCATGGGCTCCAAACCACATTGCTTGGCTCTGCTGCTTGAAATTTGATTTTACTCTATTAAAACTGAGCAACCTCCCATTTGCTGGGGAAGGAATATTACATCGAGGGGGCGCAGTTTCCTCCCTCCAGTCTGCGTGGGCCTCCAGCATTGTGCTCCAGCCACGCTGCTGCTCAGGTGATTAATGGGGCGAGATTGGAGCTCTCCTCTGCTGTCTTCTCACCTTCGGGCGATGGCCGCTGCTTGCGCCCACCTGAAGCAGCAAGGGTGCCTAAGGCTGGGCGCTGGGGGCCAAGGGCGCTCAGGGCAGGGTGCATGGTGTTGGGCTAGCACCAGGCAGCTGGCTCTGCCTAAGCTAGCCCTATGTGCAGTTTTGCCTGCTGCTGGGGTGCTGCTGGGGAACTGGGCTGCCCCCCTGCTCCACACCAGCCCCGTGCAGTGCAGGGCATCCCCAGGACAGGGCTGGGGAGGAGATGACCCAAGCAACAGGGTGCTGGGGCAGAGCTCTCCCCTGGGTGCTTCCTCCCCGGCTCAGTCACTCACTGAGGGATCTCAGCAACCTCCTGCCCAGCGTCTCCTCGGCGCTGCTTGGCGATGAGCTGGTCCCAACCTCTCTGCCCGGGGATTCTGCCTCCAGGACGGTGCCACAGCACTCACTGTCTGCAAAAACCCAGCTTGGCTGCAGCGACCCGGGGTACTGCAGCCCTCACCACCCCCGGGTCATGTGTGTGGTGTATGTCCCAGCCAGACTCACTCTGCTGCTTGCTGTTCTCCTCGTTGTCAGCCAGCTCCTCCTGGATGAAGGGGATGCCCTCCATGCGCAGGAACACCGACTCGCTGGGGCTGCGTGGCCCCTCTGTCTGCAAAAACCCAGCTTGGCTGCAGCGACCCGGGGTACTGCAGCCCTCACCACCCCCGGGTCATGTGTGTGGTGTATGTCCCAGCCAGACTCACTCTGCTGCTTGCTGTTCTCCTCGTTGTCAGCCAGCTCCTCCTGGATGAAGGGGATGCCCTCCATGCGCAGGAACACCGACTCGCTGGGGCTGCGTGGCCCCTCAGAGCGGCTGCCTGC